GCACTTATACAGTATAGGAACCTACCTACATACGTACCTAGTACCTTCTCTAATATCTTATAATAATTATTATAATTTATAAAATATATTTAAAAAAATATAATAGGTGTACATCTGATCATGACATTGTAAGGAAATAATATAGTTGTAATTTGCCTATTGCATATCATATTATGCATACATATTGGAAACGATATCAATTTACATTAACTGTTAATTTAATTGAAATGCAGCTTAGCTATAAATATGCTTGAACATCACATAATATCTATAATTACAGGCACCCAATACATGTATCCAATATTATATTGGCGGTTAATCCGACAGTATGTCTAAAAAAAAATGTATCCAATAGGTATCGGGCTAGTTGGTGGCAAACACAGAGTTTTTGCGAGCACCGTTTTGAGTGCTTACTATCCAATCGGCGAGGCATTAGTCGGAGTATTGTTTTGGTACGTTCAAGACTGGAGGAAATTCTTGATATTCGTAAACTTACCGGGATTGGGTTTCGCGTTGGCCTACACGTAAATACACTTGTATTTGAATTACTTTCAAATTGCAATACTATAAATAAACACCTACGACCAAGCGTCTTCGTGCTCTAATATATTACTATAAATCGTGATGATTTGGCGTTTGTGCACAGAATTATTCCAGAGTCTGTTCGCTGGATGGTCACCGCGGGAAAAATCAACGAGGCCATAGAGGAATTGAAATACATTGCAAAATACAACGGAAAAAAACTATCAGAAGAAAGTCTGAAAAAACTCGAAATGTTTAAATGCTCCAACGAAAAAGAGATTGAAATAGTAAATCTACTAGCGCACAGCGTTTGGGCATTTTTATCTGTTCGGTATTAAAAATCTACACAACGTTTGGGCACTTAATACCCCTAAAAAGATACCAGTCATTAAAATTAAAGAAGTATATACCTTTTGTTAAGACCTAAGAACTAATAAGTATTGAAACCATGTATAATGTATATGGCATATAATATTAAACTTTGAACGGTACTGGTAATATTTACGATGATAGTTCCAACTTCTAATACGCTAAAAATGTCAAATTAATTAATTACCAACCTAATTAGCACAGTCTATCTACTCGACAAACGACTGATTATGGTGTAAGCTAATTAATGAGAAACGTTAAAATAAAAATAAAATTTTTCGGAAATTCTATTGACGAATCCGTGATATCGCACATTATCGCAGTCCACTATAATGATAGTGTTAATAAGTTTCATAGCCACCATAATGGGAGATACGCAATTTTTCGGTTACATGGTTGAAGTTTCTACGGCTTCATTATTACAGCTTTTTAGTTTAAATTCATATAATCATGTTCATAATATTATGATTCTTAACTTATAAACTTATATATAACTTACACAAAAAAAGGTATATACTTTGCGTACATTTTTATTTTCATTTTTGCAGGTTGTCACCTGCATAGGTATCTATTTATTACATACTATTATCATACCTAGTGCTCAAACGTGTAAGTGATTTCAGAGCATCGGATAAAAATAGTGCCAAAACGTTTGTAGCCAAATCTAGACACACGCATATTATGATTATTTCCCGATTACAGGAGCGGCCCTAGAGTAGGTTAATTATATAGGACATCTATCCTAGACCACCATGTATCTTAAGGTACAGCGGTTCACTACCGTGAAAAATGTATAGGTACATGTAAAAACATAAATCAAACCTCAAAGTTTGATTAAAGTTTACCTATTAGTTGTACACTTATAGACTGATAAAAGTGATGAAACTAAAGGTATAAAAATTTATAATAATATTAACTGATTTTATTTATGCCAAGAATCTCTGTAAAAATATCAACTAAAAAAATAATACAAAAAAACATAAGAATCAATCAAGGACCAAATTTGAATATGTTTGTATTTTGTAAAAAAAAAATATTACCTAAACATGAATACATGATATTTTTTTTAATCAAAACACTTAACAGTAGTCAGTAATAATTAATATATTATACATGACGTTAAACACGAATATATGAATAGTATAAAATGCAATGATTATACGCATGTGCTTCTTGATACTAGGTTGGAGGAATATGAAATGTAAAAACAATAAAAGAAATTAAAACGTTTATATCAATGTACTTACCTATTGACAAATAGGGCACAGAGAAATTATTTTTTCTGCGCCCCACAAAACCTAGGGCCGCCTCTGTCTGACAATCCAATATTATGTTTGTCATATTCTATTATTATGTTTAGGAGGAAATGGCAATGAGTACGGCGAACAGCTGTTCTAGCCAGCAAGCGTTTAAACGTGCAATGACTTCAAAGCGCATACTTTTACGAGTGATCAACTGTTCGTTCTGTTGGTAAAGTACCTATATATGTGAAATATATTATTGCGTTGTATGAAGTTTCTTCACTTTTTTATTTTTTAATAAGTGCCTACTTTTATTCTAGACAAGTGTAAATATAGAGAAACGTCTACGTTACGAATTTCCATTTTACGAAATGTTCTGATTAATGAAATATTTTTGAGAACCAATCATAGGTGTTTAATTATATTCAACGAATTTCTTTATGATATGAATATTTTTGTTGACCACAAGACAGGAGTGGAAGTCTTACCTACCTGCATTATATATTTATTCAAAATATATTTAAAATAAAAGTATTGAGAAAACTAAACACTAAACTTTACATTTGATATTCTCGTATTTAAATTTGGCACCTAACCAAATGAATC